CCTAAACATATCCAGCCATCTCAAACTCATTACCTAGAGGCCACACTGAAGGAAGCATCTATCCCCTGAATTACAACATCTTGGAGAAGTGAAAGTCAGCATTAATTCTACCAGAAAAAAGTCACTGTGTTTCCTCAGACAACTAAATAATGAAATTGTTAGGTGTTTCACTTACAACTATTCCCTCCCAATGTGTTTAAATACGAACAGTAGGGCACACAGTTGGAAAATCAGGGCTCACAGGTTTAACAATAGTAAATACCCCTTGACCAACTGCACAGTAGCTAACAAATTCCCCATATCTTAGCAACCATCTCTCTCACACAGGAGACTTAAATGTTTCCAATCTGTAGGAAAACTTCCGTAACATAAACCTCCAATATTCACAAAACTCATCACTACTTTGTATGCTTTATTAAATTAGCAATGAACTAGTAGATGATTGATTGACATCTACACAGAATAAAACAAAACAGAAACACACAACCAGAACAAAGTAATTTTTACATGTCACAGCATATGAGCAAAGAGCTGATCCCATATTTAATATCTGCACCAATATTATTCACATGGACCAAGTCATGAACTCCTCATCTTAGCATTCAGAGATTGCCAATGCAGATGGCAAACACATGCAACTGGATCACTGTCAAAACTGAAGACAAAGAAAGGCAAAAAATGAACACTACAGCAGTTTTAAATTGCCTTATGAATTCCCAGAGAAGCTGCATTAAAATTCAACAAAGTTAATAACCCACAATTCCCTTCAGAACATACCTAAACAGTTGTCAGCTCTTGCTGTCTCCAAAGCCTATGCAGTGGATTTGTCCCCACAGTTGTGTTTAAAACAGCAGGACAGAATGAGAACAACAGATTAGTTCCTTGCAATTATAAATGTTATCCTTTCAAAGATGCTAACTTCAAAAATGGTATACTGGGGAAAAGTAACAGAATTGTAGAACTTCAGTAAAACATAATTATAGCCCACATAATTAAATGCCTATACTTTAAAAAAAAAAAAAAAAAGAAAGCTTCCAATTCTGGCTAAAAGAAACTGTCTACCCAAAAATCCACTGAAACCACAAATAAATCAGGTAAACAAGCTGCAGTATATCTTGAGCTTTACAAAAACCATTATTTTCCTTTGGAAGTTTTCCAGCCTGACACTGATATTTTTCTGATCTCCTGACTGTTTTCACTATTACATGTACTTTCCCCATAGTACTTCCAAATCCTCCTCAGACATTTCATGAGTTCCTACTCCCACGCAGAAAAAAAATTGTAAATCTTTATATTCATTTTCTCAAGTGAAAAGAAGCACGAACCAGTCTCCCACATACAATTTTGACCCCTTTTCTTGAAAGAATGACAATTCATTAACTGTGTCTAAACTATTGAAACATATACAGATTTTTTCAATTGAGTCATACACAAATTTCACATTGCCTTGCTGAAAGAATAGTCAGGTTCTTTATTAAAAACTTGGATAATCTGTCTGCTAATAGCATTGGGATGCTGCTGGTAGCCAAACAATATATGTTACTGACCCAACCATATCAGCAGCATCACATCAGGCTTTTCAATGTTTGTTTAACTCAGATGCTCACTTAAAGTTCATGAAACAAAAACAAACTGGCATCAAACATGTTTTGGTAACCATATTCAAAAGACAATACAAATGCAGTCTACAAATCTTGATGGTCTTAAGAGCTGTACCCTCTTTTAAGTGCTCCAAAAGAGTCACACTACAACGTGTCTATCCGTAACAATTAAACAACAAAATAGCAATCAACCTTCGATAATTCTCCCACTCTTGTAAAAACTTGGTGAGCTAAGCCCTATATAAATGTGACAGCCAAATCCAGGAACAAAGACATGAGCAGCTGACCTACAGTTTAGGGCCATGCTTGCTTTTAATTTACAAAAAGCCCAGCAGGACAAAAGGAAAAAGGATGTTGGTACCATCCACTTTTGTGTAGGATCACCACAAAGCATCTCTATTTGATTAGGAACATAAACCTGATACCTGAGGGTTTTTTTTGCTAAATGTTTGGTTATTTTGCTAAAAATCCCTGAGGGGTTTTTGGATGATTTTTCTGTCTCCTTCTCACAAACAAAGATAAATTACCTTCTTGGCCTGACTTAGAAAATGATGTAATAACAGTTCTTAACTTGCTCTAGAACTAGCAACATGCATTGGCAATATCACAGACATTCTGGATCTTGAGGATTTGACATCAGAAGGACAACACACTAAAATTATATGTGCATATTTTTAAAATGCACGTTCTTATATTCACAGTGAGCTTCCATTTGGGATTGACTGCCTCAATCTCTGCAGAATCAAACTCAGCTAAAGTCAGATAAAAGTTCTTTACTCCTTATTTAACCTATTATTTGAGAATACCTAGAAGAACTATTCACAAAAGAAGGAAATTCATACCAAGAGTAAAACTTTTTATTTACTTTGCAAACCCACTGAAGAGTCATATTCTACCACAGCCACTTCCTCATATTTGGTTACCTTTTCCTAAAACTTTTCATACAAAGAATCACAGGAACAGCTCAGTTTGGAAGGGGCCTCCAGAGATCACCAGGTCCAGTCTTTGCAGGAAAGGGAGCCTAGACAAGATCACCTAAAACCCTGCCCAAATGCATGAAAACCCCCAGTCATGGGGACTCTGCCACATCTCTGGGGAGACTGTTGCAGTGATTGACTGTTCTTGCTGTAAAAAATTCTTCCTTACATCAGGGTGAAACCTTTCCCAGTGCAACTGCACCCACTGCCCCTTGTCTTTGCCATGTAGCTCCTGGCGAAAAGAGAGCCTCCCTTCTCTTTGTAGGTGCCATTTCCAACACAGACACACTCCTTTCCTACACAAGCATTCATGTTCAAACAGCTGCAGGCTGGACAAACCTCCCCAGTCCACAAAGGAACAAAAATAAATATAATAAGGGCAGCAAGAAAAACTGCTTGTGGTCTTTGGTGGTGTTCAGCTAGATGGATATGATGGCTAACAGGGCTGTTGTTTGGAGGGACTATGACAAGCTGGAGGGATGGGTCTCATGAAAATCAAACAACACCATGCAACAATTAAGGCCTGGGCAGCAGCTCCGCAGAAAAAGGTCTGGAGTGCCTGGGTGATAAGCTCCTGGCTGATGAGTCAGCAGTGTGCCTTTGCAGCAATCAAGGGGAAAGACTCAAATATGTATCTTGGATACAAATTCTTGTGTACAGAGGAAGTCTAAACTTCTTCAAGAAGTAGCTGAGGGAAAAGCAGGCAGTGAAGGTGACAGTAAACACTGGAAACTGACCTGAAAGACAATGCTGGCAGACTGTAATTTTCCTTGGCAAAACTGCTTAAAAGACATCTGCTCCCCTATTATCATGTAATGCCCAATAAAAATCAATAAGGGCAGCTTAGTATCTTGTCTTTGCAAGATTTTCCTTCTTCTGTATCAGTGACACAAATTTCAGTCCAAGACTATTATTACATTAACGCTGATTTCCAAAAGCTATTAAAAACTGGCCTTCACAAGTTGAAGAATATCCTTAACCAGAATATGCATCCTTAATCATTCCCAAGATGTCCTGAACAGCAAAATAATTAGAGGGTTCTATATAATTGTCTCCAGTGGTCATCCTAAGAATTTGGCTCTTGAGTTCTTCAAGCAAAGATTATTATCTCTGCCATATCACCCTACCTGTCTACCAGAGACATTGGAAAACAGATAAGGCAGTATATTTTGATTGGTCTATCTTACACTACCACTAACAGAAGAAACATCATAAGCACAATCATATCCAATAAAACAGGTGAGAAAAGAACAAACAAGCAAGAACCCAAGGCTAATTTTCATCAAGAAATCATTAGCTCAGTTGAAAGAAATTAATCCTATTCAAAGGGAAGAAAAATGTATCCCAAGTAAACAGGAATCATTCTAAATAACATCTGAAATGGCAAGATAAACTTATTATATCAGCAATAGAAATATGTACAACAGCTCCAAGGAATCTAAACTGAACCAGCAGGAGCTGTTGACAGCATCTCACAGCTCACAGTGGACTAAGTCACTCCCCTCAGCCCACACTGAGGTCTCTGTGATGCCATAACCATGCTGTTAAGCCAGATCCCAAAGCTGAGGTGCCTCTGAAACACCCTGCCAGCTCTGGTTGATCATCACAGCCATGCCTATGGAACCACAGACAAGCTCTTCTCAACACAGCTCCTTGTGGCTCCACCAAGTGAGTCCCACATGTCGTGTGGTAGAGCACATTCAGATGCCAGACTGCATGTCCTGCAAGCTTTCCACACTCATGAACTCCTGCTTTCCTGTGTGCTTGTTTAACAGAGACCCCAAGGTAATTTCTCCACAACTGTATTTGAACTGCCAACCTGCAGTCAGATCAAACAATACCAGAGATCTGAAAGCTCACTTGAAAAAACATCTACCAAGGAATTGTTCATGCTAAACACAGCTGTCTCACAAAAACTGTGAGTAACACTATATTCAGCATTATATGCCAGCAGTTGCATATTGCAGGAATCCAGAAGGCTTAGTCATAGGAATAATTCTTTGCAATTCATTAAAAATACAAATAATGTTCTGAAAAGCTGACTCCCATTTAAGACATCCCAACATAATGGCATAAAGAGTAGTAAAATATTTAAGCATATACATTTGTAGGTTTGATTTATTTCTAAAATACTTATTAAAATACTTCCTTAAACTTCCAAACAATAAAACATTTAGCAAGTAAGCTTATCATAAAGAGGACTTTGCTTAAATTAAATTCAGTGTTTAAAAAGAATTATGGACAGCAACCTTTTCAGAACTTCTAACAATAAAACAGCTGCTAAAGCAGGTTCTTTAAAAAATATATTTTGTGAGGGTAACCAAATCAATCTGACATTTTAAATTTTGCTATACTTCACTGAAATGTGCAAATGCTGAAAATATACACAGTAGGAAATTAAAGGGGCAAACAGAATGCTTACTTTCTTTAAATGCTTTACAGTAGCCAAGGAATGACAGCAAGAAGAACAGGGCACACAGTAGGTCTGCTCTGCCAACAATCCCAGCAACCTTTAAAAAAAAAGTTTCAAATGATCAGATTTTTATTCTTAGACAACCTGTAGCAAAGGAACACATACAAAGTGAAATATATAATAGAATATAACTGTATCACTTTTTTTCTTTAACTGGGCATAGTGGATTAGTTATACCGAGTTTTTTTAGATGCATCCTATTTTTTATTGGGTATTGCTTAGTACATTTTTTATTGGGTATTGCTTAGTAAATTGCTTATTTATTGCTTAGTATCACCTACATAAATGGTTTGGCTTTGGTATATGAAAATTTTAGTTTATGGATTTTTTTTTAAGAAATGAAGGAGGATTTCACTGCATAAAATTTAGACTCTACACAATTCCATCTGTTTTTTTGGATTAAATTGCATTTCAACAGAAAACTTAGAAAACATCAAAATATAAACCAGTTTGGGTTGGAAGCAACTTTAAATATCATCTCCTTCCAACCCCTCTGCCTTTCACTAGACCAGGTTTCTCAGAGCTCCATCCAACCTGGCCGTGAACACTTCCAGGGATGGGGCATCTACAACTTTCTGGGCAACCTGTGCCAGCGCCTCACCACCCTCACAGTGAAGAATTTCCTCTTAATACCTAATCTAAATCTACTCTCTTTCAATTGAAGCCATTTCATGGCTTGGAAGCCAAACATCCTGAACCACAATTAAATTGGCAGTTCTGCTGAAACACAAATCAAAACTGTTCACTTTCAGAAGACAAGCCAGCCTTCAAATTGCAATCTGAACACTCAGAATGGACAAGTACCTTCCAGCCTGCAGATTCAGGGAAAAAAAAATAAAAAAGATTCCTCCTCTGGCAGTCTTTTGTGTTGTATTAACTGACTGCATTAGAGCTACCTCCAACTGCATCTTGAAACAGAAGTTGTATTAATGCAAAAGAAAATGAGAAGCACATCCTGGGACCTCTGTACTTGAGATCTGTGCCAACCTATTTAAATCAAGTGCAATCTCAGGGCAATCTGTAAGCTTTGGTTCAAGCCCCTAAACTGTATTTACAGTAACTTGCTGAGACAGAGCAAGACACTTTTGGATCTTCAGTTCTCAATTACGCAAGTGTCAAGATAACACCACAAATTTCTTTGTGAAAATGATGACATGGAGCTGGTAGGGGACTGATAAGCCCTGATGTTGGAACCTCACTAGAATGTACAGCCAGAGCAAGGATCATGGAAATACCCCTTATTTATCAGTCCAGCTCTGCTTCCTGGAGTGCTGAGTTCCACGTTTTCATGATATGTACAGAAGCAGGGCAGAAAAGCTACAGATTTTCTTTTTAAATTCATTTTTATGATCATATTTCAGGGACAAAAGCAGAAACTTCAGTTCTCCTATATTATACCAGTTGTGCCATTTTGTGTGTGGAACAGAAAGAGCAAAGCAAAAAGGAAACGGGCATTTTTTGTGTCAGGGAAACATGACGGAGCAACTATTTCCAAATAACATCAGAGAAAGAGAAGTGTAGAGGCATGAGAGTATGACTGATTCCACTGCAGAGACTCTCTCCCACTTTTACCCTCAGCCTTCCTTAAGCACTGTGAAAGTAGAAACTGTTGGACTCCTAAATTCAGTACAGAAGAACTTGATTTATCTACAGCTGTGCACCTAACTTCTCTGCTGCTTCTTCTTCTATCATACAAAGGAATTATGAGAATTAACTCAATAGCTGTGGAGTGCTTTGAAAGGTGAAAATAATGAAGTGTCATTCTGCTTCAGGAACCGCTCTTCTTAATGAGATAAAAGTTAAGGTGAGCTGACAAAATTTTGAAAATAAATGTCCACTTGTTCCAGTAAAGAGATTAAGGGGCCAATAATGCACATGGCCTCAGATTACTCCAACTGCAAAATGTTACCTAAAATGCAAGATAAGGCATATAGATTCTGGAAAGAAAGCAAACAAAGGAAAAAAAATAAAAAGAATTTTAAATTAGTATCAGATATATTCTTATGTCCCTGATTCATTTAGCATTTCATCACTGAAGTGTTACAAAGAATAGGCCTTTTCTAGAGCAGAGAACTATAGCACAAGAGTATTTACTTGTAGGTAGAAAAATTATAGTGTTTTCCTTGCATAGGTACTGAAAGCATTACACCTTTCAGTATCTGTTTTACATGACAGTTTGTTTCACTGTATAAACCAAAAACCCAAAGCAGCAAACAGACGGATTCTTCACAATTTTATGTCAAAATATGTCATCTCATTTCAAAGCCAGGATGCTGGATACTTAAAACTCACAGGTTTAAAATCATAAAGAATGCTTTTTAAGAGATGCTGCCAGACACACACTCATCCTAGAACTGTAGCAGTACAAATGACTTCTTCACTGAAGCAAGATTTATTGTTGACCATGTAAATGATTAGAGGCTTTTGTTCATTCCTGAATTTTAGAAGAGGCCTGATATATAAGCGTGCTACTTTTTCTCCCTCTTCTTCCACTGTTTGCCTGAAACATTTGCAAGTCTCCAAATATGCAAGGAGACCACATCACTTGTAATTTATTTGACACGACAAAGAGCTTATTAATATTCTCATGCCGATTTAAATACATTTTTAGAGTCAAATGGAATGCAGAATAAATTTATGGATATTGATAAAGGGGTCAATAGTAGGTCTACTACAAAGTTAAGACTCAAGTGAGATTTCTCTTTACATGTCAGAACATCAAAAGCACTGAAGACTTGTTTTACTTTACTCTGACATCTAAAACTGGTTTTGGAGAACAAATATGAGGGGCCCTTCTGACACAGTGCACTCTCACAAAGAAGTTATTGTGCAGATGAGTGAACACCAGAGAATGATTGTCAAGATGTTTTAGCCACACGGCCAGAAAAGGTGGCAGATTACTAATGCATAACTTTGCACCATCTCTAGGTCTTCAATACATGCAAGGTCTCCAGACAGCTGAGAGCACAGCTTTCAGTAACTTTTTCCCCACCAGTCATGTGCAGAGCAAATGTGAGAAGCCAAAACCATGGCATATTGTGAATAAGTGAAAAATCATATTCACATATGTAGAATGTGCACTGTAGGATTCACTGTTCATTGCTAGGACAAAAATAAAAATATTTCTTTACTTTTTTTTTCTGTACTTTTAGTACTTTTTCTGTATTTCAGATCTTCCAAATCCTAACAAAACCCCCAAAACATTTCCCTTACTGTCACAATTTTATATTTGATTTATCATTATCACACGGTCAAGAGATCAGTGACAACATTCAGCAAGCCCACTAGCATAAGGCCATAAGATTTTCTTAACTACAAGCACAAAAGAGCTTTTTGAGAACAACATCTTCTCTTCCCAGAATTCCCACACAGGGACTTTGTGTTTTGGTCAGATATTTTAACTGATTGCTATACATGTGCCATGATTCTATTCTGCATCTTTATATCTTTGCTTTTGTCTGCACTATTAAAATTACTGTCAAATTTGTGTTCCCCATGTACATAATTACAGACTGCGATTAAAAAACCCTCTTTAATCTTCTCCTTCATATTAAAAATATAAACCCAGTTTGATCTCTCACAAAACAGGATGATTTCCAGCCCTTTAACCACTTTCATGGCTCTTCTGAGCACTCTCCAATTTTTCTAGTGTTGTCCTTGCAGCATGGATGCAAAACTGAGTGCAATATTCTACTAGTCACATACAAAGTTCATAGAGTGCCCCATCTCTGATTTTAAAGCTCTTTGCTTTTTTTACCAATGCAAATGGAAATGAACAGTAATTAAAAAAATCCAGGAGGTAGGGAAATTCTGTAGCATAGAGCTCTCCTCCTTGAGTTATTGTACTTGAATGATTTATTACTTGAATAATAAGGTCTAGCTCGGTGGAATTACAAGCCTTGGATGTACTAACCATAATATTTGATTGTTCTATTAAGACATGTGCCAAGAGAAGTGTTAAGAATATATAAAAGCAACCTGCAGAGTATAAGGCTACGCCAGAATTAATTAGTCAAGATGGTCAAGAACTTCTAAAATAAAAATCTCTGGAGATAATGATTCAATACTTACACACTCAGTGTGCACTGGATGCACAGCAAAGAGCAAAGCAGCAAGAAGAGAGGATTTGGGAGCCAGGTTTAGCCGTCTTCCTTTATTGCTGAATTGCAGTCCTCCCAATAATATGGAGAACACATCAACCATCAAGACTGAGATAGTACAATGCAGTATTATGTTGATGACATGGAAACCAACTGGGTAGAAGCCTCCAGCAAAAAGGTAATTAATTCTATATAGAAACAAAAATATTAAGGGTAGGAATTACAACAATGGTTAGAAAAATACAAATAAAAAAACTAAACAGCCCCATAGGAGACACAGTTGCACACAAAAATAAAGTGGGTATCTCAGTACATGTGGAGTTTCCATTTCACCTCCACAACAAGATAGAAACAATATCCCAGTCTTCAGACCACCTATTCATAGGGAATATCACATGGATACAGTATCTATCCTCTCCAAACACATAGTTTAGTACCATTATTTTAATCTTACAGTTACTTAGAACTGGCTTTTGGTCAACAACGGAACTTCAGTGCTGCAACACAGCAGTATCCTAGGGATAAATAATCCAGCCCACTGAGGGATACCCCTGGGCTTAAGAGCAGCCAACTTGATGAGTTTTTGTTAATTAAATCCACACAGTGAGGAAACTAATATGCATTGGGACTATGATTTCCATTGACATACTCTCAGAAAGAGGTCCTAGCATGTGGCTACAATCAGTATCCACCCAGAAAACAGTCAGCATATCTTGGTAACTGATTTGTGAGACTGGTTAGAGAGATGTTTCATACAAGTGTTAGAATTAGAAGGAAGTGTAAGTGAAAATACTGTCTAAATTTCTATTCAAGACAGGAACTCTGCAGTAAAATGGAGGCTGAGAAGAAAACGGGGAAACATTGTGCTATTATCCATATTCTTTTATCAGTAGGTAAGACACACTGAAACTTACTTAGAACGGGGGATTTTACACAGTTATTTTGGTCAATGTGCATCTGGCATAAATGAAACCTATTTAAAAACTTAACCTATTATAAATATGATGCACATAAAGGTTGGAGCTTAGGGAAATTAAGGAAATCCATTTCTTTCTTTGAAAATAGCATTTTATGGACCATCTCCACAGGCTCATCTATATTTTCAGATATAATAAGGATTGCATCCCAGTTCACTCCTTAAACAAACCAGAATGTTATTAGAGATGGAATACACCACAGAAAAAAATAAAAAAAAAAAAAAGGAAAGCATGTTCTGTGTAGTGCACTGAAAACTTCAACAGGTTTAGGACTCTGACACATTCTATTCAGTTGTTTATTTTTCCTGATGAAAATGTGAAGAAAGCCCAATAGACAGTGAAACCCACGGTGCTAGGTACTTAAAACACTGACACTACTCTAAAGGGTCGAAGTTTTTGCTTGAATATGAGGACTAAGAGTGGGAACACTTCTTCTGCACTTAGTTCATGGCTTGAAATGGGCAGAACAAGCACTAAGTCCCCACTGACACCACTGAGTCACAAGGGGAAAATAAAGAAATTAAGACTGAGTCCTCAAATATTCTCTGTATTACTGTGCCAGATTCCTACATGGTCTACTCTTTGCTCAAATCTTTGTGCAAAAAACATGAGCTAAGCATCTACAAAAGTAATCCTCTTAAACCTTTAGTTATTTGACAAAACCAGCAAGTTATATAGAGGCAGACATTTCACTAGATTCTCAGACACTTGAGTTAGAATATTGGAGTGAAGAGGTGGGAAGACTATACAGTGTGCTGATGGAAAAAGGCCACAGTACCGTGATGCTATTTATAAAATAAACAATTTGACAGGTCAGCAGGAAAGCAGAGAACAAAAACTACAATAGCAATGTAAGTGGCAGCATGGCTAAGTGAAGGGAACATACACCTCCTAGTTCCTTGAGGATGTGACATACTAAACCATACCACCCCTAGTAGCAGGTGTAGAAGACCCTCAAGACAAAATCTCTGAAAACTAGCTGTAAATACAGAATGTCAAAATAATGAACATTTTGGGAAAGAAACCATTGGAAAATTAAAACACCATTTGAGATTAAGGTAGTGAACTCAAAAATCGTATTCTGGAAAGGTATCCAACTACCCTGCAGCTACTTTGTTCTTGCCTTTTTTGTTGCCTCCCCCCTAAATTCAATTGAGTCAATATAGGTTAAAAAATATTCAGACCTCAAGCAAAAATACAAGTCTCACCTGAAAGTTAGGACAGTTAGCGGTCGATATGACTTATGACTGGTATTGCTGCTGAGTTTGCTACCCCAAAAGTCATGATACCACAGGTCACCAAGGGGGGTTTCTGCCCTGAGGTCCTAAAAGAAAACAAATTATCAGATCCTTAAAATTTGTCCTTTGTTCAAAGCAGTAAACTACAAACAAATTCTAACTAATACAAGCTCACACTAAGATGGACATAGCAGGAGTTTTGTTGGCTCACTAGTGACATTTGACCCACAGTACCGAAGTTTGCAATGAAGGTCAAATCTTGAATGCCTGTCATTGTAAAGGTCACAATCGTGGATTCTGAAAGTAGACATCACTACATGAAATTTAGAGCTATATTCACATCAGTTTATTATCTGGTCAATAGCTGACATATGAAACACATAAACCTCCTTACCTCATAATTTTGTAAAAAGCCTTTGATTTTAGGTGTAGGTTATCTTGCAAAAAAGGCCAACTACAAACTGCTGCAAAATAGCAATTTTTTACCAGTGCAGTAGCATAACTACTGACAAAAGCATGAAATCAAGGAGACTAAAGGTAGGAAACAACAATTAGTTCTTTTTGAAGCCTTGCTTTGCACAGGACTATTCAAATAGTTGAGGCTGTTTTAACACTTAATACATAAAATCAATAATCAACATCTCTATATACTGCTCCTAAAGATTAAAAGACAGAAAGGTAATGAATTATTTTAATTTGGGGTGCAAAAGGGGCTTATTAAAAAAATACTGCAAAGAAAAAGTCTTGCTTGCTTGTTCTTCCCTTTTATCTCAAAGCCATGCTGATAACGAAAACCCAGATAATAAATGTAGGCTATTAAATGGGAAGCATACACTTTGGAGGAAAAATAAGGATCTTGCTATCATCTGCCTCAGTCTTCTATGAGGACAAGCTTGGAAGTTCAAACTAACATATGCTTGCCCTCTTCTGCTTCCCTAGTGCAATTAAATTAAATACCAATTTATGCTACACCAAGGTACATGCAGGTTAAAGACACTTGAGACAGAACCTAGGAACAAAACTGTGCTAGTCAGTACTACTCCTGTAACCAACAAGGGGAAAACTCTACCCCTACCTTCTCTCTTGAAATTATTGAGACCAGTGAACCAAAGGAGGTGAACAAGACACCACAATCACAGGCAAGTAGTTAAACAGGCTTGCTCTTGCTAACCCCTGGTGCCCCTGTCTTATTATTCCTACAACTCCACCTACTTACAAGATCTCCCACATTGCAATTCCCTTGGTTTTATTAATTCCAGTTCCTCTCCAATGCTGCTACCACCTCACTTGCTTCTATAGTATCTTGAGCACTCCTGTGGTCTCCAGTTCCTTCCATCTCACCCTTAGTCCATGCCTTATTTTTGGCTTGCATGTACTCCCAAATTGCAGCCAAATTGCTGGACCCTGATGACTGGCTGCTGCTAAACTGAACTTAAAATAACTAATTTTTTCTTGCTTCTTCAACAAGAATATTCTTAACATATTCTGACGTTCATCCATCCAAAAATATAAATTAGAAAAAAAAATCCAAGAAAAGACTTCCTTCAATCATTTGATCAAATTTGGCTAGTATTAGTCAAATGAATAGAAGTATTCTCTAATGGGATACCAATTGATACACAGAAAAGAGAGCACGGCTAAAACTGCAGTCCGAAAGAACCCAGACTGCAGCTGTCAATTAAGGCACTCTCAGGGAAATTCTTAAGAAATCAAGACTCACAGGGGATCCTACTTGGGCTTAAGAATTACCAAGGTGAAAAATTTCTTCACGCTCTCACAGATGTTTCTACTGCCAAGTAACAGCTAGAAATTTCTTTCTTCTCACAGAACCGCAATTTTAGCCTTAGGCATCTAAATTCCCGTTCCATTCCTCATCGGTATGCACAAACCCTAAAGGTCATAATTTGACTCTAAGAGCAGGAACACACTCAAGCAGCAGCTCACTAAATGGATAGCGCCAGCTTTTCCGGGGCAGGCTGGGACAGGGATGCGCACCAACATCTACTGAAGTCCTTGTACTCGGCAGGGGACAGCTGCCAGAGCGTGGTGTGGCCCTCACACTGTTTTTTCAACCAGCAGCACTGCTCCTTATGTACATAAGGTTTATGAAAGACATATTTTTATAAATGTTAGTACTGGAAAAGAAAAGCATGTCTTCCATGTCACAGATGGTCCTCAATAACTTGAGATGGGAAATGTACAAGGCTTGATTTCCCATTCTGCTATAATCAGCATTCTTTTGTCTTCCATCGGAAGAAGGCAGGAAAAGCTGAATGCATGGAATTACTGAGTGATTAGATTACACTTCCATATGACCTAAAAATCTTCAATCATGTATCTTGTCCTTGTATCTAAGTTCTGTGAGAAAGTTTCTTGCATCCATTTTCCTCCTTAGCGAACTTACCCTAAAATAGGAATGGTTTTCTTCAAGAGACAGCTGTTTAAAAGCTACATATGATTTTCTCTTTAAAAACCAAAAGTAGCTATCAAATAATCTCTAAATATTTGATTAGCAGCAGCTTTAGAGAGAGCAGAGTTCAAGATTTGAAGAAAGGTCAGTTTTTCTATATAAAGGCTTATGGAAATGACATACTGTGTCTGAAGCTTAATCCAACTGTTTGTCTTGCCAAGCTAGTAAATAAATAAAGACAAAAGCCACTGCTGTGTACCAGTTAAAATGCTGCTTAAAATGGTAAGAAAGCATCTGGAAAACAGACTTTAACTCCAATAAAATCTAATAATGGAATATTCTGTGATACAATAGGGATGGGGTGAATTAAATGTGTATCTTTTGCTAAAAAAACAATAAAAGAAATGAAAGATTGGGATGATGGCAGCTAGCAAATTAACAGAGAGGGCACTGTGTGGTACCCAAGAAAATACTACAGTAGTAATGCTCAGTAAATCTATAAAATTACTTCAACTGCTGTCTTTCCTATTAAATAGGAATAAAATATGCTATGCTTTGTTTAATAAACTGTGCCATTGCTAGATAATCTCCCTCCCCATTAAACAGGTAAACTCACTGTCTCTGCATTTTTCTTGTGCATTTTGAATTTCCATATATCCATATGACCCGTGTGTTAAAATGATATTGTTACAAAATCCTCATTTAATTTCTAGGGAATAATAGAGAATTTTGATGTGAGAAATAGAAACAGCCTCCCAGTTTTTCAAACAAACAGACTACATATCAATTAATTTATTTAAGCAGTTGGTTGAATTTCTCAGCATTGCCAACAGCTAGAATCCTGGTGCAAATTGTTGGGTTGCATAGATAAATTGAAACATTTTTAGAGTAAAGACTGAAAGAAATGGAGAGAGATTACAAGTGTGGAAATTGCACATTACCAAAACAACCTGCTTTGTTTCAAAATCAGTCTTTTGTTCATTCTTTCAGGAAATGAAAATATTATAAACATGTCCCAAATAAAATTTTGCAGAATGAACCATTACCAGGAGCTGTGCAATCTAAAATACAATACTACTTTAAAAAAAAAACCAGACAACAATGCTGTAGGTTCTTAATTTGTCTACAGTATTCTCTTGAAAGCTTTGAGATTTATTTCCACGTTGACAGATGTATTTTCCCCCCCATACATCTATAACTGAAGGTATGATGACTTACACACACATAATACAAGTCTGTCTAAGGAAACAGTAATTCTGCACGATTCAAAAAGGCACATTGTGATAAGCTGCCTCTAGATCTTGTGCAAGGAAAAAAAAAAGTGAATTGCGTTATTCTAGCAGTGTGAGTCTCCAGATTATCCTCTTTGTAACCCCATGGCTTCAGGAAGACAGAACCAACAGATGAATGTGATTATTTTTATCCTGTGCTTTTCTTTCTAAATGCTTAACAAGTACCTTCCAGAGCAGCATAAAAGCTGTAACACCAATACCCATCCATGGGCATGGGCTCACTCACTGCTACATGTGATCCTGTGAAGTGTCTCAGCAATTGAAGACACACTCCACTGCTCAAAGTCAAAAGAATCTCAGTCAGAGGTTTGTTTGAATCACATGTTAACTTCTAAGCATTTCAAGGTCTGCTCACTGCATGTATGGTCAGCTTTAAAATGGAACACAATACTCCACCTCTATCTCAAAAAGGTGCTATTGTCAGAGGAACTTTAGTGGTGGAAGGAGGAAAAAGGGAGCTTTTCTTGCTCCTGTAACATTTTTATGGTATAAACTGCACCTGAAAACCCCCTGCCCCCTACATGATACCTTAATGATGCCTTATGTACCTGCAACCAGACTAAGTCCATTCCCTGGTCTGATTCTGTGACCAGAGAAGTTCTGTGAAGATAAATCTCCTATTAACATCCATGGGTATCAGAAAAGTTTACTGTACACTCTCCCTGACACAGGAATGGGCATAAAATTAGACCTACTGGCAGTCTTGATGTACAGGTACCCTTATATCAGCTTAACTTGAAAAAACACCCAATAAAACAAAATGGAAAAATTAAGTTTAAAAAAAAACAAACACGTAATGCCCAAAGGAAGCTCTTTACTAGGCTGAAACTTTTGAGCCTGTTTAGATCAACTGTTGCATTATTTCTTTTCATATGACCATTTATGCCAAAGGTTGTGAGGAAAAGAAGAGAGACAAACCTTATTATTGATGATGGCTTCAGAATCATCAAAGACAAAATCTCCATCATAGCTGTTAGCAAAACAGAGGAAGGAAATTAATGCCACAACCATTTTAGCCCAATGTGATGGGAGGAGGAACCATGATACATCATGGTCCAGGTTAGGTTCCATTTGTGCCATTCTGTGAAATGCTGGTTCCAAGTTGGGAGCTTCAGCATTATGTTGGTTGAAAATCTAGAAGAAACACATACAAGTGCATGGTTACAGCTCTAATTCACAAAAAAAGAACTCTAAAGGAAAGCTGGCTTGGGAGAGGAGATTAAGTTTCATTTAACCTTACATTCTTTTTCTCAGCATCTCTCAGTTACTGAAACACACCTAAACATAATTTTGTACTTCAAATGAGGAACTAAAGGCAGAATTTATCATGGTTGGAGCACAGAGATAAATACAAGAAATTCTTAGATGCTAAGGTAAAACTTTGGCACAGACAAATTCTAAAAGGTAGAGCAAATCACTGTTTTTCTGTTTCTTACTGTTTTTTTCAGGCAAAACAAACAGATGCAACAGAGGGACTGTGAAACATTTATAAAGCTCTGTAGAAAATGATAAATATTATAATTTCCTTCCATGCTTGAAAAGCAAACATTGTCAACTGCCAAAAGAGCTAAACTCCCTTCACTTAATCAGATTACAGGACCCAGTCTCACGCATTCCCCCATGCAAGGAATTCATACAAACATCACAGATAGACATGTGGAGGTATCAGTTAATGGCCTAGGCCCTAAATCTCAACAATTCAAGCAGTGACGCAGCAAGACCCATAGAATTGAGATGGAACTAGTGTTCAAGAGATCACTCAGCACACCTCAAGTGCAGCTGAAGTTCAACTGCTGTATAGACTCATGAGACTGTTGAGGCGGATGAAAAAGACCCTGTAATCCAAGCACACTGAGTGATAATCAGTGTGGAGGTACTGAGCTGGAGGTTTACACCCAGGAGCCACCTTTACTCGGATGGGTCTCTCTGGATGCTCCAGAGCCAGCTTCTGCTCTGCCTCTGCTTCTCAGGAGCTCAGACACTACTGTGAGTGCTCTTATTATCAGGTGCTGGTATAAACGGCAAGCGAAGGAAGCTATGAATGGAAAACTGCAGTAAAAGCCAGGCAGAATACGGATTTTTTATTTTGCAAGCCTAAAGTACGATAGGCACATATATAGTAGCCTATCTTAAGTTTCTTCTTATTTATTTGCTTATTAAATCAACTGTTGCACTCCTGAAAATACAACATTTAATACCTTCATAGAGAAAAACAGAGAATCTAGAAGAATAGCTCTAGTGCACCCCTGCAAACATTGCATTTAATGGAATGTTTGGAAAAGAGCTCCAAGCATCTGGCTTCTGGAGCAGAGCTGACCATTAGAGCTGCTGCAGCAATTGCTTTGCTTTTTGCAGTAGCTCACTCCGATCCCTGCATATTCCCAATTCCGGCACACACGCGTGCCCAGGGACAGGCAGTGCCCCTGCCACACCGGTGCCGCTCTTCGCTTTGGAGTCCATACGGCGCGGCTCCCACATTCAGGAAAAGTCAGTAACCTGGAGCTGTGCAGCCTGAGCGGCTGGAGCTCCCTGGCTGAGCAAAGCAGCTGCCTTAAGAGCAAAACCTTCTCTCGGAGCAGTTCACCCTTGTGCTCGTAGTTTGACGGAAACAAAGAGAGAAAGCGTGGCTGTTAACCGAGCGAAGTGCACGGCGCTGCTCCCAACAGCACGGATACAGCATCAACACGCACCACGCAATTAAAATATTTAACCTACTCAAAATTTATCTCGCCCTGAAAGTTTCTCCCATTACGCTTGCTCTATTTATCCGGCGCACAGCCACTGCCTGCCCTCTTCCCCGCTGTCCAGGATCCGGTCCGTGGGGATTCCCTCCCTCCCTCCCTGCCCGGGCAGCGCGGGGCGGGCGCCCTCGGCGCACCGCCACCTCCCGGAGCGGGCACACGCCGCTGCCCGGCGCCGGGAGGGCCCCTCCGCCGCTCTCCCCAGGGAAAGGCGAGCCCGAGCCGACCCGGAGAGCGCCCGCCGCTCACCGCAGCACCCCCGGCGGGGCGGGCACGGCGCCTCCCGCCCAACAGCGCCGGCGCCGGGGGCGGCTCGCACCCAGGGCGGCGCTGGCCGTGCCCGGAGCCCGCAAACTTGGGGGCGTCCCGGGCACCCGGCGGGCGGTCCCGGGGAAGGAGCCGGCCCGGGAGGGCAGCTGCAGCTTCGGGGTAAGGGTCGAGGCTGGCGGGCAGGCGAGCCCCGCCGGGAGTTTGGCGGTGGCCCTGCCCCGCTCGCCGCTCCCCTTTTGTCCTGGCGGCGACGGCTCCGCCGGAGGAGGTGGCCCGTCCCGTCCCGTCCGGCCCTCACCCCCCGGGCCGGTCCCGCCGGCGGACGGGCAGTGGTGCGACTCCCGCTCCCCCGCGCGGCGTTACCTGCGAGGACACGGAGCCCGCGCGGCATCTCCCACCCGGGAGCGAAACTCTCCCGCCCGGCGAGCCCCGAGCCGGAGCGGCCGGCGGGGGAGGGGCCGCGGCGGCTGCGCCTCCGGGAACATCCCCGCAGCCCATTGGCTGTCGCCCCGCCCCGCCCCTCCACGGCCCCGCCCCCAGGGGCAGTCCCGCCTGCCCATTGGCTGCGGCCGCGCTGACGCGCGGTGGGCGGGTCCGGGCGGGCGGAGCCGGGCGCCGCTCACTCGCGGTGGGCGCGGGGCCGGTGCGGGTCGTTCCCCCTTCAGCCCCAACTCCGCACTCTGCGCACGGGCGGGGCTGGGCGGACTCCGGGCGGCGTTCCCGGTGCGTGCCCGCCCGCCCGCCCACCCGCTCTGCCCCGGCGGCGGTCGTAGCCCGGCGCATCTGGCTGGCCGCGGGCTGGGGGGCGGCTGGGCTGAGCCGGGGAGAGCGGGGCCGCCCGGCACGGGGGCGGGAGGATCGCGAGCCCCGCGCCCCTCACTCCTGTCGCAAAGGCGAGGTTCCTGCGGCGGCGGGCGTGCACGGAGCGGGAATCCCCCCGGGAAGAGGATACAGAGGCGGTGGGGCGGTGGCGTAGATGGGTGTCGGGGTCTCGCCGCCTGGGACGGGTAGTGGGGTGAGCCGGCAGAGCGTTCCAGCCTTTCTGTAGGAGCTCTCGTCCTGCTGGGGTTGTTGCGGATGCTCTCTACAGGGTAGATAGTGTAAGGAGAAAAAGGCTGTATCAGATGCAGTTAATTCGTACGTTTAAACATCACCGCGATTTCCTTCTAAGAAAGTGTGATTAAGCATTGAACGGGTAGCACCAAATGTTCGCAGAAGCTTCTCTAAAAAAACCCCATTAAAACCTTAATATGCTGAAATTGGATGAGAACTGCTGGCTCTGTGCCAGGGAGTGACATACAATTTGGAGTGGGATTTTTAAGATGTTTGCATTATCAAGCGTCAGATTAACAAGGTTATTTCATGTGTCCTTTGAGGCTTTAACTGGAGTGGAAGCGCTGCTTTGGGAGGGCTTTGGTGGTTGCCACCCATAACTGCCTGCTGACACCTGCTTTGGAACATCTGCTCTGCAACACGGGCAGCAGCTGAGCCAGCACAACTGCCAGGCTCGTCTATTATTCAGCTGTAGATGCGGAGCTCCTGCCTTTAAGATGGAAGTCTGTAACTTGTGCCTTGTGTTAGACAGCTCCCACAAAGTGTCTGAGGTGCTTCTCGGTGGTGAAGGGGTGCAAAGCCAGTGAACTGCTGTCATCCAGCACACAAAGCTCTGTGAACTGATTGCAGTCTTCTGGTCCCTGTGGGACCAGAGCTGAAATAGACACACAAAGACCTGCGAACCACTAAATTGAGCCCTGGACTTTAAAATGATCTTGTCTGTTCTGACTTTGTCCCTGACTTAGTGATCTAAATGGGCACAATGAGGAAGCTTTGTGTTTCATAATTTGCCATTGTGAAACAGTAAAAGTGAAAGATGTCTTTATGGCTTTTGGGTCATTTTGCCTTATAAATACAAGGTAAACCATGAGATAATCTACAAAAGCGTGTGTTATATGTTTCTGCTTCTACAATCCAAACCTTTGAGTTTGATATAACTTACTAAAAATAGCTGATTTACCATATTATTTCATGATTAGGAAGTGCTGGTTCATGTTTCCTGACATTTCCTTTCTGTTTCAGCTGCTGTCCCCCAAACTACCACACATGCGTATTATCAAGTCAAATTCTTGTCAACAAGAATTCTCAAATTCAGCAATCTTCCCAAGATTATAATATGTATAGAATTTTTAATTAATGTTTGTTAATGGAAGTGCCCTCACTCAGAAGAGAGGGGCCCAATTTTGAAGGAAATTCCTTAGTTGGAAAAGGCAGTATATAATGTATTCAGTCTTATCTTCTATAACTTCTAATGAAGTAAATGAAATTTCTGTTCATGCTTAAGTTTGCCCATATGTAAGAATTTATTTTAATTTAAACATATGTAAATATATGTAAGGTTCTGTGAATCAAGGTTGAGATTTGCTTCACCAGACTCACTGTGACACTTGCCAGACTTGTACTGTTTGACTCACTTTCACATTTCTGTGTTTTGTTCCATAGCTAGTTCGACTGTATCACATTTGCTGATGTATTTATTTTTACTAATGGCCCATTCAAATCACATACTCTTCTTAGTAGCTCCTTTGCTCACGTCTGGACATTTCTTGGATGTCTGTACATCCTTGATCTGTGCTTTATAACTGGAATTTCATTTGTTTAGTGTGTCTGCTGGTGTAATCAGTTCTGGTCAAATATGTATATTTCCACACAGCCAGATGCACAGATGGTATAAATCACCTCATCACCACTTATGTCAATACAATAATGGTGATTAACATTTCTGCATGAACTAGTTAACACAGGCAGAAGGCTCTGCTTCCCATTATTTTCCATTTAGAAATAACCTTTTTTTTTTCTTACGGCTTTATTATTTTGCTTTTTATAATATGGCAGCTTTTATGATGACCTTCTGTTCTGCTTTAATTAACATGAAGAACTGCAGAGCAAATACCTGTTCTGGAGAGTTCCCTAGTTCCCTCAAAATCTGATTTAAATCAGCTACAGTTGCATAATTTATCTTCAGTCTGCTTCTTTGGAGGGTTATTATAGCATTTCAATTTGAAGCAGTTCCTAAATACAACCATTATTTTTTTTTTTTTTTTAAATCTGCAGTTTCTGGGAGGGTTGTGTGTATGAAGTGAGTATCTCCTCGCTCTGTAGTTTTCTCAGCATGCTAAATTGATCTGCCTAAGTGGCTATTGCATCCTTATTTTTAGCAGCCTGCCACTGCAGATCTGCACAAAGGCCAGCCTTGCTCTTGTTAGAAAGGAGGGTGCAAAACCCGTCATATTTCAAGGGATCAACACTTGACAGTGTCGCTGTGACTTTGCAGACAAAGGGATAAAATGTCAGGGACTGTGGTAATGCAGGATTCAACCAGAACAATTCAGAAGCTTAAAAAGGCTGTCAGTTGCTACCACAGTCGTTTTTGGAGCAGCTGTGACTTCTCCACGGCCTGGATTTTGCCATCATAAATGTGGCCTTGGCCATTGAGGGCCACTGCTTGTGCCTGTAGGTAACCTGCAGCTGGTTCCTACCTGTTCCCTATACTTGGAGCATGCTCAGGCATTTTATATGCAAATATTTTCATAAAGAATAGGCATATTTTCTTTACTATTGTTAACAGTATTTCAATGGTCTCTTCCTCGAGACAGCTGGTGTCCCAATTAATTACACTGAATGAGGCATTTGAAGTAGCAGGTTCAGGCAGCTCGTTTTGTATGTTGTGTGTTGTACGTGTCTCTGTGTGTAAGTACACACACGTATGTAGAGACATGCAGACTCCTATGCCTGGTGCAATTGCAACGTTGATCAACTGTAAGTCATAAAAACAAAATAGAAATGAGACAGAAGTTAAATGAGATTGCCACAAGAGGAGTGCAATGAATGGAGCCTTGTTTCCTGTTTTTCTGTGTCTTATCTTCCTACACCTCCTTGCTTCACTAACTGTGGTTCCCCTCGTGACCCATGTAAGTCATCCTCATTAAGATCGCTCAGTATTCCTCACTTTGCTTTTTGGCTTGCCAGTTCTCTTTATTCTGTGACTGACCAGAGCTATGGGTATGTTTGCTGCTGAACAGCCTGCCCAGACTTCACCATGCAGAGTTGTGTCTCTGTGAAAGGGCCTGTCAGGTTGCTGCCATTTACACAGCCATTCATTGTGGGCTTTTTTAAAATGAAACATGCAGGAACTGAACATGCTGGAGGCTCCTGTACTTTGATAACTCTGGGTTAAATGGAACAACAGAAGTTATTGGAAAAGGATTGACAGAAAGACCCTACAACTCCAATTTTCTTTTGAATTGAGGCTTCCAGTGAAGTACTGAGTCCTTTAGCCCTGCTGCTGTAGCCATGTCCCTGCTCACTGGTTGAGAATGAGCAGGTCCATTGAAGACTTGTTGCTACTATGTTTTGCTGCTACTAAAATGTTTAGGGTAGAGTTGAAGGATTATGGCTCGCAGTCTTAAATTGTGTTAAAAATATATACTTAATCACACATTCTCCTTCCCCTAAATAAGTAGATAAGAAATATGTATTTAGAACAGTTAATTCTGAATGTGAGAGTTATGCTCTGTGGAATGTGTTCTTTTCAATAAAAAATGGAAATGTAGTAGGTCAAAGACTTGTGGATAACAAAGATTCCACTATTCTGTTGTTCTCTGAACCATAAGAATACTCATCACTTCTTCTCACTGTAGTACTTTAGACTTAGTACAAGCTATACTTCAGCTTTTATGGGAAAAATAGAGAACTGTCTATCAATAATCAACCTAAACCTTTCAAGGAAAGCACCAATGCAGTTATGCCAGCTTGCTACAAATTCACCATTAATATTGAACTACTTCACTCTGTGCATCTGCCTAGCTTTTTGTTAGAGAAAATACACCTCTCTTTGCCAGACATTGAAATTAAAATAACTATCTGTCCTTGACACAAAGAAGCAGATAAAAAAAGGAAAATTTAAATGGAAAGTGGAACACTTAAATAATTTTCAAAGGTTCTCAAATTTCCTTCCTAAAATTACTCCAAGTTGTATGAGGAAAAGATTGGAGACACACTCTGAATGATTGCATGAGCTAACATTATGATTTAAGAATGTTTCCAAGTTTCACATTTTAAAACTGTATTGTCCTAATCAAGAGGCTGTACAAGCATCTCTGCTGTCAGAATTAATTTGCAATTCATTACTTTTGTCCTGCAGTTTAATAGTGTTTTAACTACACACACACATACACACACAAATATAAATAAAAATAGGCACTTTTAAAGACTGCTGTATCTATCTTAAAGTTAAGTTGATTAGAACTTTAATGCACACTTTATAAAATTGCATTGGGCTGTATATTAAAAGATTAGGAAAATTAAAATCTACTGCAGAAACTTTCCAGCATCTAAAGAAGCTTCTCTTGAAAAGCATTAGAAACCCTGGTCAGAGCACCA